TCCATCCTGATGGTGGGTTTGTTTCATTTTGATAACATACTATGTTAGAGATGTTCTACTGTAAGTGGGAGGACTTAATGAACTTTACACTGGAACAGATAAAGTTGTCTGACTCTGTTTTGTTGTTAGTTTAATAATATTTAAAAAAATAAAAATGACACGTCAATTTGATGGAGGCAAGGTTACAATTAAGAAAATAATTGATAATTAACAGCAACTCCCTTATTCATATCTCATTCAGACAGTTGCTGAATAAAATGATGGAAAACTTTGCAAAGAAACAGTTCTGAAGTTTAATTTTTAATTCCATCTTTCTCTCTAACACCACAGTTATCACTTTCACATACTCTGGACTCGTTTCTATCGAATAAATCAATTGCCAAGCCATGGAACAGGGGAAAAAAAAAAAAACGCATTTGCATGTGGTGACATATGATCTGTTGCGTAAGGGCGTGTGAATGCATGCAAACCCTTTCAACCTGGAAATGATTGTGCACCCAAGACAAACAAGAGTAAAAATACTCCTATCAAGAGAATGGATCAATGCTGAAACTCCACCCGGTCGATAAAATGTTTTCATTATTGTCTTTTGTCACACTTGAGTTATCATCAGCTTTAATGTTTTTTTTTTGTTTTGTTTTTTTTTTTTGGGGGGGGGGGGGGTGTTCACTTAAAAATAAATAAATAAATAAAATACCAGTCGTTCTTCTTTTGTGTGTATCGTCTTGTTCTATATCCTGAGGGTTAATAAAGTCCTGTCTTTCCAAGTCTCATAACATGTACAGTAAATGGTACAAAAACAGAATCTATACAAGTAGAGCTGTGATTTTTGGCCCAAGCCTGACCGAACCTGAAATTTGGGCTGGGTCGGGCCCAATTTATGCGCTTGATGGGCAGGCCAGGTTGGGCTCAAGCTTTTGACGCAGTTTTAATTGCGCATGTGGCCCCACCTGCCCTTTGCACTTATCACACATCTGAGGATTTGCAGTTGACCCACAACAAGTGACATAATGGAGCAGGAAAGTATTAAACACCAGCTAAAAACGGGAGAACTCACTCTACAAAGCCAGCACAGTGAAACCTGCGTGTGTGTCAGGTCAGGTGCACGCTCAGGTCCGACTGGCGTTTGAAAGAGGTAAAAAAAAAAAGTCACGTTAAGCTTCAGATGGACAACCGGATCATTGGCCGCGCGTCACGCTCCACACCCTGCTGTCATCTGCGGTGAAAAAAGTAGCAGCATCTACAAAAGCCGAAGCGAGCTGCACGTTCAGTTAAAATAGGCTTGTTCTATATTTTTCCAAATAATTTTGCTCTAAAAATATTTTTGTTCGTCTGTATACCCTATCTTTAGAGTTAATTTTTTTAGGCTATTCATTTTGTAGGTTAATATCCATTTGGTGACTTAATAAACAAGAAATTTTGTATCTTCCTTTCGTTGAAATAAGTTTTTAAAACTACCAAGTCAAACTGATTTGCTTATAAAAGCAGTAAAAGCATGATTTAAAAAAAAGTCTCTTTTTTTGGGTTCGGGCCTCTAATTACAATTAATTTGATCGGGTCAGGTCGGGCTCAGACAAAATGGCTACGGGCTGGGGTCGGGTCGGATTTTTTAGGTCTGAATGCAACTCTATATACAAAGAGCCTGAAAGCATAAAGTATCTAAAGAGAAGATGGGTCTCACATCATCTTATCAAACACAAAATAATGAAACACAAAGTGTAGTGGAGCTACATTCACATATTTAAAGTTGAAAAACCGACTTAAATCCCAACCACTGAAAAACAGAAAATCAGACACTCACACAAAATACAAGAATTCCTTCTGTAGGAACAATTTATTTGTTTCTAAGCCATTTCAGGTATTTACCTTCAGACCAGGTTTGTTTTCCATTCATGCTTTGGAGGTCTGCATGCTCAGATGTCTTAAACTGTTCCTGTGGTCATCTCCTGTTACGCTGACTTCATTGTTTCACTTCACTGACTGTTTCAAAACAGGGTCTGTATTGTATGACGCTGTGCTTCCAGCAGAGCTCACTGAAAGTAAATTATTAATAAAATTAAAAAGGTGTGCGTTAAGTAGTGACACTGTTTTTTCTCATTTATGTTGCAGCTTTAAGATCCAACGCAGGTTAAAACTCTGGCATGTGCTCGACTCGTCTTATGTAAACTCCTTTGCTAGGATTTACTGAAAATCTCAGAAACCTGTTTTTCACGGGTAGCCTGTAAAGTTTCCTTGTTAGATGTGACGTAAAAGAACATTTTTCACAGAATGAATCACAAAAAGTGTTGCTTTATCACTATTGTTATAGGTTAAAACTACTATCAATGGAAAAAAAAAATGCATGGGGAGGAGACTGATGATGGAAAAATGTCCAACCTGGTATTCTGGAGTGAAACCAGAAGTTCTTGGAATTAAAAATAAGCACATTAAGCTTAAATACCTCAGCAATTCAAAAACTTAATTCTTTAAACTTTCTATATATAAACTGTTGGATAAAAATATCCCCTATTCATTTCAGTTACTAAAAGAAGCCGCGCAATGACAGAAGATTGTTTAACCGAGTTTTACTTGCAAGGACAGACGGCGACAACAGGCCAACACAGACGTTCAAAGTTAAATAAATGACACAACAATATTAAAAATTATACACACCAAAAATTATGGAATAAAAGACAGAATTATACATTACAGTAAAACTGTCTTGTCATGATTTGTGCTTTTTGTTGGTTTAATTGTTCTTTTGTATTTTATGGTTAGTTTTATTTTATTTTGCGATCTTAGTTTATTCCAGGGCTATTCAACTGGTGGGGTGACTTCATTAATTTTTTTTATTTAATTTTTAAAAAATTTTTGGGGTGGAGGTTCTGGGTTTGGGTTTTGGGCTCTGTTTATTGCATTTATGATTCAATGCAATAAAATAAACACATTTAAACGGTAACAGATCAGTGTAAAACTTGGCTTATTTGCATAGACAGCAGTTTGTTGAATAGCCCATGGTTTATTCACTTGTATTTTTATTATTTTCTTGTGCCATCATTCACTTTCCCACAGTTCAGCTGCTGCGCTCAGCCTGCCATGCCCCCACCTGTTTCTGGTCAGTTCAGGTGTCACTTCCTCATCTGCGCAGCCCTAAATATCCGGCACACGTTTCTTTTTCATGACAGCGATGTGATGTTGACTTCGGGCCACAATCTGATATCTCACTTCACCTTTTGTTCCTTGTGCTGAATCGCTGCGTTATGTACGTTTGCTACCACAGCTTTATTTTTTCTTCATTTTTGTAAATACATGCTTATATTTTTGAGCTCCTTGAGTTTGTCTGCATCCTGGGTCCACTCCTTTACATATTTGTCTATGGCAATGGTAAAATTAAAATGTGAGTTTTAAGTCTAAATTCAACTTTGGTGGTTTAAAAAAAATCAAGTGAGTTTGTTCTGCACCAAATAAACAAAGAATGGAGGCTTCATTGCAGTATCCAACAGCAAAAAAACACAGGAAGTTTATCTATATCAAACTGCAACAGCCTTCCTGTCCACATGTGTCAAACTTAAGGCCCGGGGGCCAAATGTGGCCCTCGTTGACATCTTATCTGGCCCCCAAGATGATTTGTGAAATGTAAAATACTTCTATCTCTTGATTTTTTTTAATAAACTTTGATTATGATGTCGAAAGCACAACAGAGAACATCAAATGAGACCAATCAAACTCTTGCTGAGGAACCTGTGACCAAGAAAAGATGTTGGGTTTTTTATTTTAGTCAATGTAGTTTCTGAAATTGGCCCTTAGTTTGAAAAAGGTTTTAATTTTGGCTTCTTTTGGTAAGTGAGTTTATTTAAGGGAAATCTATGAGGCATGTTTTGAATTTGCATATGGATTTGCTTTAATAAATATGATTTTATAGGGTCACAACTTGTGAACTCACCAATACTGTTTTATTTCTCTCAGTGAGGTCTACCTTCATTTCTTTGTCTTTTTTTTTTACTTTTTCTTTCCTTATCTTGCAACATCACACAATAATGTGCAAAATAACCAAACTTTGACCTAAATGGCTACAGCTCTGCCATTTTTCATCATAAGATATTCATATTTTAGAAGCTAACTAGTAAACATGTGAAGGCTAAAAACAATTTTAAAGGCTCTTTATGGTGTATAGTTTATAAAAGTTTATTAAGCGCAAAACAAAAAGACATGAAATGTAAAAGAAGCTAAAAAGAAACATTTCATATAAAAATTTGATCAAACGTTTACATCAACAAAGGCATGTAAAGCTTTATGGTACATTTTGCATTGTATTACCATGACACTGAAATAAAATCTGCATGTCAGTCATTTCAGCTGCAGCCAAAGATCTGAAACAACTGCTGCCCTGACTCCTTTTTTCTGTTCTCATTTACATTTAAGAGTGCATATAACATCAAAATAATTATTTTTATTGCCTCTCATGATAACCTCCTTTGTGATATAGTTAAATACAAACCTAGGAGCAATAAATGTAACTGGAAGCCAGAAATCGTCTTATTTTTACAACACATTCAAATGTGCTTTTTTTAATGCAAAGCCAAAATGCTGTTTACGTTTGAGGAAGCGTTTGGTTATTGGCAGCTCCGCTACCCAGAAAGGTAAAAGTAGGTAAAGGAAATAGGTGGATAGACATTACAAAATTACTAAAATGCAGCTCATGGTTAACTATTTCAGCATCTAATCAAATTTAATGCCAACTTAATGAGGATATACCAGGACAGATCCAGAAAAACTGGTTTAAAAAAAGCTCCATATTTGTTTGTTTTTAGGGCACAGTTTGAGAGCGAGCAGAGGCTGATAGCTATGTATCTCAGATAATATATAAAAACATCCTGATGCATGCTCAATATATAAAATATATAAAAACCTTTGCAAACACAGCTTCGACGTCAAAATCCAATTCTGATTACACAGTAAATACTTGTATCATTTAATCCTGATGGTTGTCCACGATCAACAAGCAACATCAAGGTTCCTTCTCAGCCTTTTGAGTTCTCTCTTTCATCCTGCATGATGGTTTCAATCTGATCTGCCAGGGCAGGGAAATCCGGTCGCTCATAAAACTCGTATTCCCAGCATTTTTTCATCAGACCGTACACCTGGGATTAATGTGGGAAAAAATTCAGATCAAGGAAGACAAAAACAAAAAATCCCTTTTTTCCTTTGGAAATGACAAATGTCATTAGTTTCATAAATACACTTTTTGTATGTTGGATAAAAGACTTCACTGAAATTGTAATAAAGCGCCCATACCTTAGGTGGGCAGTTCGGAGGAGCCGGCAACCTCCAGCTGCTGGACAGAATCTGGGCAAGGCGCATTGAGACGGGTATGCCTTGCAAGTTGTGTTCAAGTTCCTGCAAAATGATCTAAACAGGACAATATTTTTTAGTATTTACTATTTTAAAACACAATGCAAATAATCTTCATACTTGTATGTAACAATGGCTGACGTCCATACTTTTTTGGGACTGTAGTTCTTGTCACAGTAGGAGAAGAGCTCATAAAGGAGGATCCCAAAACTCCAGACATCGGTTTTGTGGGAGAACTTTGAGTCGTTGAGCGATTCGGGAGCAAGCCTGCAATAAACCATTCATGGGTGGCCTTTAAATTTAGGCATGGAGCGACAGTGTGGGACTTTGATTACACAGGAGTCATACTCCACAAGCCAAAATGTATAGAAATAAACTTTTTTTTTTTTGCTATCTGTTGCACAGCCTGTTCTGATACAACACAAGTGGCTGCAGCTCTCTGTTGCTACAAAACACTCAGGATCAACTTCAAAAATGTGCAACTCTCTTCTTTTACTCTTCCTTTTCGCTTTATTTGTTTCTTGTCAGTGTTGTATTTATAAAGCAATTAGTACTAACTGTACACCTAATCATGATGTTCAGCAGGTGTGAGAAATTTGCACTCTTTTTGTATTTGAATGCAATTGTGCACAATCCAAGGCTTGTCCACACAGAAACACAGTTTTTCCAAAACAAGCATTTTACACGTGCATCTAAAAATGTTTGAAGTACAAAATTCTAATTTTTTTTGTCAGTCATTTCATAGAGTGAAACTCATTTATAGATTCACTACATATAGAGTGAAATATGTCAAGCCTTTGTTTGTTGTAATTTTGATGATTATGGCTTACAGATAATGTAAAAACAAAATTCAGCATTTTGGAAAAGTAGAATAATTTGAAGAGGTTCAGTATTGGAAACTCATTGTGTCACGCTCTGATCAGCTGATTAACTCGTGGACATGAGCTACAGATGTCTCACTCCTCGAGTCGAGCCACTCCTGAACCAGAGACAACGTCAGAAGCGTCTTAACTGGTTGAGGAGACAAAGAACTAGACTGTTGCTCAGTGGTCCAGCGTCCTCTTTTCAGATTAAAGTAAATGTTGATGTCATTTGTGAATCAAGGTCCCAGAGTCTGGAGGAAGAGTGGAGAGAAGCAGAATCCACGTTACTTGGAGTCCAGTCTGACGTTTCCATAGTCATTGATGGTTTGGGGCCATGTCCTCTGCTGGTCCACTGTGTTTTCTGAAGTCCTCAGTCAATACAGCATCTACCAGGACATTTTAGAGACTTCATGCTTCCTTCTGCTGACGAGCTTTATGGAGATGCTGGTTTCATTTTCCACCAGGACTTGGCTCCTGCCCACACTGCCAAAGGTACCAAAAGCTGGCTGTGGAATATTTTAATTTTCTGAGACACTGAATTTTGTTTTTTTCCATTATTTATATGCCGTAATCATCAAAATTACAAGAAATAAAGGCTTGAAATATTTCACTCTGTATGTAATGAATCTAAGTGCTATGCTGTCATTGTACTGCGTGTTTCTATACAATGACGAAACGAGTTCTCTGTATTTAACCCATCACACCTGAGCTACACCCAGGTGGAGCAGTGAGCAGCTATGTAAGCGCCCGGGGAGCAATTAGGGATTAGGTGTCTTGAAAAATTGACGTGCTATAACAAGCTTCCTGCCACCAAAAGCATTTAGCTTCATCACACCCGGCCACTCACATAGCCGCTCAATACACCTCTCTTGTGGGTCCACGTGACACAATATACTATAAGTTTCACCTTCTGAAATGATTGACCAAAAAAAATTAACTTTTTTCGACATTCTAATTTTTTGAGACGTGCCTGTACTTGTAAACACAGCATAATTAAAAAAAAATGTTTTAATCTACACAAATGCAACAAAAATTACACAAATCTCTATAACTCTGCCTGGCCTGCATGAAGCGCTGGACCAAACACAATATAGAAAACAAGGCAGGGAGCATGCACATAAAGTTTGCAAATCAAACACAAGACGAAATGGATGGCTTTGGGTCTTTCAGTTGTGTACCTGTATGTAGTATATGTAATGTATTGTATGTGATATAATGACATGTAACATTAGACTGAAATGTTTTAAAAAATGCCAGAAAGCTGTGTGTGTTACAGATGTTAGCAATAGAAAAGAAATGGGAAAACAACCTTTTTTCACATGAAAGCAGATATTAATCTTATTTTCCTTAATGTGAATGTGATTCGACCTGAATTTAAGCTAATAATGTAACCGTTTAAAAGTATCCTATGAAACTGATGTAATGGCTGTTACTTATTGAATTGGCTTGTAGCTTCTGTAGCAGATGTTGCTAAGCTATTTAGGCTGTATCATGTTACATTTTAGTACAAATTATTAAATAGTACAAGCTGCTGTTGCCTCTGGTAACAATTCAGTATCTGCTTTTTAACATGAGTTCTGAAAATGTACTTTTTAATCTTGGGTATAGGTTCATTCAACCTTTATTTATACAGGTTAATCCCATTGAGCATCGAGGACTCATTTACAAGAGAGACTGAATCATTGCAATTAGCTGTAAGCAGAGCATAAACACAATTTACATGTTAAAAAAGTTTGTTATTCACATTATTCAACTAGTTAAAATGTCTTGAAGTAATTGGAAACCACTCATTAATTATTGACTGACTTCAGGTCTAGTTTAGATCATTGGGAAGGGTCGTGGACCACCCATCAACCAACATCAACTGATCTATTATTCTCGGTTTTGTTTTAGTTTCAAAATTAGACAGACATTTACCAATAGAGGGGGCTCTGTCCAGGCTGTTGAATCCGGTAGTACTCGGTGTTTTGAGGAATAAACTTGGTCATTCCAAAATCAGCGATTTTTACCAGCGACTCACTGGCAACAAGAATATTTCTGGCAGCGAGGTCTCGGTGGATGTAACGCAGGCTGTGCAGGTACTCCATCCCCTGGGAAATGAACCAGAAAATACAAATTTTGTTTCTTTCATCAATTCTTATTATTAACTTTAATGATATAACGATACTAAAACCAAACTGGTGAAAATTTATAAAAAAGTTTAATAAAAAATGACACTTTTAATAGACCTATTCACCGCCTTTAGTTCTTGGGCTATAAGTAAACCTTTGAAGTTTCAAACTGGTTTAGTTGGACTGTCAGTCAAGCACAAAACTTTTTTTTTTTGAGAATGGCATGAGGTTGGGAGAACCCCTTTTTTCTTTTTTCCAAGTAACATTATCACATTCCTCATTGTACCTGCAATGATTCATAACAAATGGCAACTAACCAACCCTGAAAGAGTGTGTTTATACCACGCAGTGCAAAGATCATAAATTAATTTACTCGAATATGGATTGATAATTAACAGACCTCACCTTACAGATCTGAGAGGCAAATAGTAGCATGCGCCTGGTGTTGATGTTCTGCCTGTTGCTCTCCATGTAGCCGTTGAGGCTGCCGTGGGGCATGTACTCCATCACTAAGTTCATACTGAGGTGGCCTGTGAACAGGCGAACATTTAGCATTTCTGGAAAACACTAAAATAACTCAAATTAATCTGTTATGTACTGAACTTTTAAAGTTTTGGGGATATCAAAAGAGAGTATGTGTCAAAAAAAACCTCAGTACATGTTTTTTTTTAATTATATGGAGATTATTATTGGGGGAATGGTGGCGCATAGGTTAGAGACGATGGGCATGTGATCTGAAAGTCTCAGGTTCAACTCCCCTGATTGACAACATCAAAATGTGGGTGGAGAATGTGAAACACCTGCCTCTACCCTCATTTACCCCACTCTGGGCCCTTGAGCAAGGCTTAACCCCCACCATCTGCTCCCAAAAAACAGGTCTCTCTTGAAAATGAGTTCTCGTGACTCAATGAGACTATCTGTATAAATAAAGGGTAAATAAAAATAAAAAATATATCTCAGTGTGTGTGTTTTTACCCATGCTGTAGCAGATTCCTTTATATTTGACAATGTAGTCACAGTGTAAAACACTGAGAGTTCTGATCTCCTTGAGGAAGTCGTCCAGGTTGGACTGTTTGTTGGGCTGCAGCTTCTTCACAGCCACAAGTTCACCAGTGTTATCACCCAGCGGATCGTAACGGCACAGCTCAACACTGCCAAAGTTCCCCTGCAAACATTTTGAATCACACAGTTGATAAAAAAAACAAAAAGAAAACAGACTTTTTGTCTGCGACTTAGGACACACAATCAGAAGATTCAGTGCATGACAGATAGTGAAATGAGCCTTGAAGCATGGATGACGGCTTTAGTTGACACCAGGATTGTCTGGGTAAAATTCACCAAGTGATTTCAGTATTTGAAGCTTCACGCTTACTTTTCCCAGTGGGCGGATGTAGCGCAAGTGTCTCTCCTCAAACGCTGCGTGGTCGTGCAGAGCAGGACTGAAAACTCTGCACACAGAACTCTGAGTGACCGGCTCAGTGGCGTGAAGTATCTCATAGTCTGCCACAAAACAATAAAATGTGATGTAGCTGCATGAAATGACTATCAAAATACATCGGAATGAAAAATATTATGTCTCATATTTTAAAAATAGATGCAAAAACATAAATACTCCAAATAATTTGTCACAAAAGTAAGTTGAATTGAAATAATGACTTTATATAGCAATAATTGGTGCCTCGCACATACCTGTATGTACCCCATTCTTACCTGGTATGGACCACATACCAGGTACTTGTTTGGTACGCAACAGGACCAGGTATCAAAGTTCATGCTCAATACTCCAGGTAAAAAAAAATCCAACAAAATTAAGTCAGGTCCTCTGAATGTCCAGAAGACCTGACTTAACTTTGTTGGAATATTCCAGATACTTTTCTAAATCAGACTTGGTACTTTACCGGTATGTGCCGGATACATATCAGGTAAGTACCTGACGTTACGTACAGGTAACTTGGGGGAGTGGTGGAGCAGAGGCTAGAGAAAATGAGCCTGTGACCAGAAGGTCAACAGTTCAAATCCCTAGACCAGCACATAAAATTTGAGTGGGAAAAGTGAGGCATCCACATCTGCCTCCACCCTTATTTATGGCTCCTCATGCTAAACCCTTTACCCCCCAGCTGCTCTCTACCTTAGGTGCTTAGGTGGCAGCCCTCTGCTCCGTGTGTGGTCATTACATTATTTATTATTATTATTATTACCTGGTACGTCACCAGTATATAACTTGTTACCTGGTATGTCTAGTACTTCGCTGGTACGTATAGTTTATGAGTACATGTGTCACAATTACAAGTTATGGGTATACCACTAAATATCAAACACAATATGTACCCAGTGTGTACAAATTAAGTATACCGAGGTGTTTGGTATTCCTATACCATGTATTTAACTGGTACTTTTCTCTTATATGCTTGACATTCACCAGATATGCATCGTTGACATACGTACATAGTACAAAACTTAGTACAAAACATACGTTTCAGATAGCCATCGACTAGTAATAAGTACATTCATATTATTTACCGGGCTATTTTATGTATTGCTCCTTTTTATACTGGAATCAAATTTGTCAGAAAACAAAAGAGCAACATTAAAATCTGGAAAAAAATATATATATATAACTAACTTCTTATAATAAATGCTCCCAAATAAATCAAGTGCATCCATCAGATTTTAAGCTTTTAACGCTCTGAAAATATTATCAGCAGTGTATTGCATATGCATATATTTCTTACCTGATGTGACCAGACTGTTGAGTTGACGGATAATACTGCGACAAGATGGCCTGAAAGCTGCGTCGTAGTCCATGCACTGACCAATCAGATCTGCCAGCTCTGTCCACTGGGAGGGAGGCAGCTGTTGCTTGTTCTCATAAAACTTCTCCTTCTAAAAAGTGCAACGGTGCCATTAGTAATTGACTTTAGAAGGTTCACTCTAATCAATTACGAACACGGTATTGCTAATTATATTGATATGTAACCCATAAATGAATGTGGGTAATTTTTAAAATCCTGTGAACCATGTGCAAGGCAAAAACCTTTAGTTGTGCACGTTTGCATATGAACTATGGAGCTCTGCAGAGAACAAACAACGGAAAGACAAGAATACAGAGATAAAGCAGATGACGTATATAATATTTCTGCTTTCTATAGTAAAACATTTAACAGAATTTAAAGGGGTAAATTAAAAAAAATGTATTCTATTTTATTTTTTTATTCGTTCATCTATTTCTTATTGGGTGAATGTAGGTGAGTAGAAGGCATGACGTATGGTTGATCCGTTTCATCCCTGTTTATATTTCTAAATGTCCTGTAACATTAAGCCGAAATGGATTTTTGATTAAAAGCTTTGCGACAACAGATCGTCTCTGTTTGCCCAGGAGGCACGGTAACCAAGACACGGTAATCGTCTTCAGAGACCAGTGCAGTTTTAACTACTCCCTCAGTGGAACATGCTTTCAGGTTATTAGCGCTGACCCAAACAGCGTTTAATCTGTAAACCAGAGCTGAGCCACAGCCCTAGTGTGTTCCTATCAGGCCAAAATGTTTCTGACTTTTGGGAATAGAAAATGGCATTACTGTTTATATTGCTTAAAGTGCATAAAGAAGCAAGTATGCTCACAGCCGTAAATTTCTTATAAAACAGTCTATCTGGAAAAATGCATCTGCTTCATTGATAAACATTAAGCATGCTTTACCTTTATATCTCAAACCAAAAAGGTTGTAATATCATGTTGCATTCTGCTGCTTGACGTCAGGAAGTAAATATAATCATTGCTTTAACATTATCAAAACAAGAAGTGAAGGTTTTTTTTTTTTTTACATCTGCTTAACAGACTGTAAAGATACAAAAATATAATGTTTATAGATTTTACTGCCGCAAAAAACGACTGTAAGGTCCAAGTGGATGTGCCAGGATACTCTTTGTTAACAAGTGGCAACTGCAACAAGTACTGCTGTTTGTCCAAGGCAGGCTTCAAGTCTCCTAGCAGGAAAATATTTGACCCTTGGCTACACAACAAGAGGAAACTCTGATGCGGGCCTGTTTAGTGTTGACTGCAAAATAATACAGCGTGATCCGAGTGCCTGTGTTTGCACTACAACAGTGACTGTACCTCATAAAGATTCCAGCTTTGCAAAGGGGGATGTCCATTGTTGAAGATTTCCCACATAGTGGCACCAAAGCTCCACTTGTCGCACTGGAGGGTCAGGCTGTCTGGAGAATCAAGCAGCTCAGGTGCCACCCAGGGGATCCTGTGCAGGATGGCTAAAGAAACAGCAATGTGATTTATTACTCTTGAACATCAAACATGCAGTGAACTAATTAAGAATGAAATGTACTAAATCTGTTATCTGTGTCACTTATATTTTGTTTATTTTAAATAAGCATTTCATAGTGCATTACAAAAAAAAAAAGAAGGGTTAATTAAAATTATGGTTTAATCCCAATCATATTTATATTTCCATTCAATGAAGTAAATATCAATTTACTCCAAGCTAACACAGTCCAACTAATCCAGTAGAATATGTATACGTAAAGGAAAAGTATTCTCTGTTTAAACCCTAACTCTTTCTGAGAATGCACAGGGCAACAATGAACAGGACAAAAAAAATCCTCAAACAGGAACAGCTTGTCGTGATGTCATTGTTTAGTATTTCTGGGATTCTGGTATCTTGTTTTACTTGTGTATCAGCTTTCCCAGTGTTTTTCCCCTCATGTAGTCCAGCTCCTGCCCCTCCCACTCTCACCTGATCCTGCCTCCCCCCCAGGTGTTGTCATTTTTACCTCAGTAGTTTCCCTTTAAAGCGTGTGTCCTTTTCTCGTTTGTGTCCGTACATTGTTGAGTTCTGAGTTTTACGTCAGCCTTAAGTTTTTGCTTTTGTTACTAAATTACTTTTGTTATTTTCACCCCTGAGCCTTTTGAGCTGGGTTCAACTCCTCACCAAACATGACTCAGCCATCCTGAGTCGTAGTTTCAAAGCGGCAACTTTTACAAAGTAATACTTCATTTTTGTCGTTGCATTATTATTAAATTTTAATGTTTTCCTTTCGGCTGCTCCCTTCTTCAGGGGTCGCCACAGTGAACTAAGTCGCACGAAGACTTGGCAGTTATTTTTACGCCGGATGTCCTTCCTGACGCAACCACAGACCACAGAGCTACCACAGCCCTCTGTGTGGAGCAGAGCAGGACGCCCAGGGGAGGTTAAGGACCTTGCTCAAAGGCCCGGAGTGGGGCAAATGAGGGTGGAGGCAGGTGTGGGTGCTTCACCTATCCCACCTACATTTTGATGTTGTAGGTACTGGGACTTGATCCAACGATCTTCCGATCTTCTCTAACCTCAGCACCACCACTCCCCATGTTGTTGTCTTATTATGAAATCTACAATTAAAGAAACACAAACTGCTGCTTTTACCGTCTTTTCCCAGCATGACGACGTTGATGCCTGGGTCACTCAGCTTGATAAATGGAGAGATACCCAGGGAGGGGTCTTCTTCTCGGGCCACCAGCAGATTTTTGGCACAGATATTTCCATGAACAATGTTTTGCTCTTCCTGCAGGGCAGATACGTTTTTAAAGACCCTTCAAAATGAAGTATTTTCATGCGATACGTCTGTTTTTAAATCAGTAGTTGACAGACTCGGATGTTAATGCGGTTTTTAACACACAGGTGCAGAAATTATATACGTTTTCTAATTAGGTTGAACTTATACAGAACAAATAACTGCTCATTTCAACTTGCTATGCACGGTTTTACTTTTTGTTTTATTTGATCCTAAGTATTCTTACCAGATAATTGAGGACGCATGCAAGCTGTTTGGCAACGTTGAGTTTCCAGCTCACTGACAGAGATTGTCCTCTTTTCAAGTACAGGTCAAGAGCTCCGTACTTAACGAACTCCTGTACCATGATGTCTGAAAGGCACAGAGAGGTCTGTTTTTACAGCTGTGCCTCAAACTGATTCTCTAATGCTCACGCACATGAGCAGAGGTCATACGAGGACTCTGAGCAAGTTTTTGTTTTTAGCTCAACAGGAAGCGAATGATGTACCATTTTTATTTAAAAAAAAATCCATTGTTGCTTAAATTTCACCAAAATGAAGCACATGAACTCTATGTTCTCAAATATAATGTGGATTTCATGTGTCATGCTTTTTTTGGGTTTGTTTTCAGATTGTTGCATTAAAACGGCACCAAATGAAAAATAAAGGATATACAGGTGCTGGTCATAAAATTAGAATATAACGGAAAAAGTTGATTTAGTTCAGTAATTCCATTCAAAAAGTAAAACTTGTATATTATATTAATTCCATTGTCCATTGTTGTCATCGTTCTTTGTTGAAATCAGGTCTCTCTTGTAAATGAGTCCTCGAGGCTCAATGGGAAATAAAGGTTGAATTGAATGAAAATTCATTACACACAGACTGATATATTTCAAATGTTTATTTCTTTTAATCTTGATCATTTTAACTGACAACTAATGAAAACCCCAAATTCAGTATCTCAGAAAATTAGAATATTGTGAAAGGTTCAATATTGAAGACACCTGGTGCCACACTAATCGGCTAATTAACTTCAAACACTTTCAAAGACCTTTAAATGGTCTCTAAGTCTAGTTCTGTAGACTACACAACCATGGGGAAGACTGCCGACTTGACAGTTGTCCAAAAGACGACCATTGACATCTTGCACAAGGAGGGCAAGACACAAAAGGTCATTGCTAAAGAGGCTGGCTGTTCACAGAGCTCTGTGTCCAAGCACATTAATAGAGAGGTGAAGGGAAGGAAAAGATGTGGTAGAAAAAAAGTGTACAAGCAATAGGGATAACTGCACCCGAAGAGGATTGTGAAACAAAACTCATTCCAAAATGTGGGGGGAATTCACAAAGAGTGGACTGCAGTTGGAGTCAGTGCTTCAAGAACCACCATGCTCAGACGTATGCAAGACATATGTTTCAGCTGTCGCATTCCTTGTGTCAAGCCACTGTTGAACAAGAGACAACGTCAGAAGCATCTCTCCTGGGACTGCTGCTGAGTGGTCCAAAGTTATGTTCTCTGATGAAAGTAAATTTTGTATTTCCTTTGGAAATCATGGTCCCAGAGTCTGGAGGAAACGAGGAGAGGCACAGAATTCACAATGCTTGAGGTCCAGTGTCAAGTTTCAACAGTCAGTGATGGTTTGGGGTGCCATGTCATCAGATGGTGTTGGTCCACTATGTTTTCTGAGGTCCAAGGTCAATGCAGCATCTACCAGGAAGTTTTAGAGCGCTTCATGCTTCCTGCTGCTGACCAACTTTATAGGGATGCAGATTTCATTTTCCAACAGGACTTGGTGCCTGCACACAGTGCCAAAGCTACCAGTACCTGGTTTAAGGACCATGATCCCTGTTCTTAAATGGTCAGCAAACTAGCCTGACCATAACCCCATAGAAAATCTATTAGGTATTGTGAAGAGGAAGATGCGATATGCCAGATCCAACAATTCAGAAGAGCTGAAGACCACTATCAGAGCAACCTGGGCTCTCATAACACCTGAGCAGTGCCACAGACTGATCGACTCCATGCCACGTCACATTGCTGCAGTAATCCAGACAAAAGGAGCCCCAACTAAGTACTGAGTGTTGTACATGCTCATACTTTTCATGTTCATACTTTTCAGTTGGCCAACATTTTAAAAAAACATTTATTTTATTGGTCTAGTAATATTCTAATTTTCTGAGATACTGAACTTGGGGGTTTTAATTAGTTGTCAGTTATAATCATCAACATTAAAAGAAATAAACATGTAAAATGTATCAGTCTGTGTGTAATGAATGAATGTAATATACAAGTTTCACTTTTTGAATGGAATTCCTGAAATAAACTTTTTCATGATATTCTAATTTTATGACCAGCACTTGAATACATGACAATGGCAGAAATAATAGTCATAAATATCATGCACCTTAATCCCAACTTACTTTTTTCTCCATGAACACTAACGCCATACACATGAAGGAGGTGTTTGTGTGAGATCTGGCTCATCAAGCTGGCAGCTTCAAAGAACGACTGAGGAAGAACAAATACTTAAACACGCTGCATTTAAATTAAGATTTTGTTTGCCAACCTGCGATTTCAAATGAAACCTTGAAAAAAGTAAATCATTACAAAAAAAATACCTCCCAGCAGTTCCTGTGATCAGGGTCGAGCTCCTTCAGAAGAACTTCTGTCGTGTGGTTTTCTCCATCACGAGCGTCAATTTTTTCACCTTTAAAAATTCGAGTGAACGAGCCCTGTCCAAGGCTCTCGTTCTGTCATAAAAAATACAGAAACTAATTTAAAGCAAACAAAAGAGGCGATCAAGATCAAGCGGAGTACAGAAGTAGAAAAAGAAAAGCGATTTTTTTAAAAAGATTCTGATGTAAACACTTACACATTTCAGGTCTTCGTATTTGATCGTGTGGAACTGAATGTGACTGAATTTGTTCCTTTCGGGTGTTGGGGATCCCTGCTCAACCAAGCTGCTGTTTCTTATGATTATTAGATTTGTGAGCTCTTTGGGAAGGCGAGAAAACACGTTTTATTGTGTGTAGTACAATCCATAAAATTTGCGACGGTTAAGCTAGAAACAGAGGTATTAAACTAAGGTGAGTATGTTTAATGCAACAACCTCATGTCAATAAATCCCAACTAAGAACTTGGATTTTAGAGCAGTAGACCAGGCTTTTTTGTCTTCATTCATAGAGTCATTGCTAAAGAGACTGGCTGTTCACAGAGCTCTGTGTCCAAGCACATTAATAGAGAGGTGAAGGGAAGGAAAAGATGTGGTAGAAAAAAATGTACAAGCAATAGGGATAACTGCGCCCGAAGAGGATTGTGAAACAAAACTCATTCCAAAATGTGGGGGGAGTTCATAGAGTCATAACATTGTCAACATTGCATGTATTAAAACAGAAAATGACCTTATAAAATATGAAAAATTGCCCGTTTTTTCTTTGCTACAACCACAAGAGGTGAAACTTGCAAACTTCCAAGTTTTGAAGGGGAAAATGAGAATTATGATAATTCATTGAGCCATAGACTCACGTTTGGGTTATAACTGGTTACATCATCGTGACCATGGTTTGGCAAAGATACCTTTAGGTTGAGGTGGACAGCAGCGAGTTAACTTGACAGGACATTCAGCCATCAGCAGCTTGTTGTGTTGGTAGTAGCCGCTGAGTTCTCTCAAGCTGGAAAATGCTTTCTGAACTCCAAGAAGACTGTATTTCTCATTTTTAATAATGAGACAGTCTTTATAGTCAAGTCCAAGAGGGGTCTGGAGAAACACAATCAACAAACTTTAGTTATCAGTTATTATTATTTATCATTATTATTTTTCTGTGTTACCACCTTCACCTGAGTGCAAACCGTAAGGAAGAAGTTATTATAGCTCTTGGGACTCTGCCGGAGCAGGAAGGTCCCACCTTTACCTCCCAGCTTTTTCAGCTTGTTGACTGCAAACTCCGATCTGAACAAACACATGACAGAAAGAGGTAAAACAGACGCATTTGAATGATGGTATCAAATGAGCTGTCAACACCACTCACGTGATTGGCCCATGACAGCGGTTGCTGAGGCCCTCTAGAATACATGGCGGCGCAATGTCTTGGCAGAAGAAATGGCTGGAGTCTGTGGTGAGTCTGAAGTAGCCGTCAACAAGAGACACGAACGAGAGCGCCTCTTTCAGACTCTGGAACTTGGCTTCCTGTCACGATAAGTCCATTTTAAAGTGTAAAACTTTCATTTCATTAAATACATGCATATTGAAAATGCTTCGGTGGATAACGTTGTTTACCAAGCATCTGTCATCCTTGCGAGTTATTGTGACCATCCTGCTGTCCTGTGGAGCCTGCTCTTGGCTGTTTATACTGATGTCTACAATCTCTTGGAAATCACAAAAGGTCAGCCACTCCTAAGGGGAGAACCAGTTTTATAGCTTTTAGACTAATAATCCGACACAATCTCACACAGAATGGGAAAGACGGTTATACAGACACAGTGAAAATTTGATTTGAACATTGGAGGAGGTAGTTTTGTATTTTTAGATTTTCTAATGAGGCAGCTTTGTATATACTAAAAGGAAAACCAGCAAGGGACAATCACTGATTAAAAAAAAAAAAAACTTTTTGTCATTATTGTTATGAATAACATTATCGCAGATGTACTTAAGAGCTGCTCCTTTTTCAGCTTCACAAGTGAAACTTTTCTTTCTTTTTTAACCAAAGTTTAACCATGTGACTCTTAGTCATCATCAGTAACTGTTCTCACATGATTGTTTTTGTAACTTTTGTAAGAAGGAACAGTTTTAGGTTCATAATTGGCTGTTGTTGACACAGTTTAAAACTAAGTAGCATTTAAGACTTCCAGTATAGTCTATTTCTAGTAAGTCTATTTCACAAATTTCCCCCCTGGGATTAATAATTAATAATATATATATATATATATATATATATATATATATATATATATATATA